CCCCCCCCTTTTCTCTCTCTCTCTCTCTCGACTTACGACCCGACGCCTCCTAAACAATCAGCCCCCTGTCGCACACCTCGCGAGTCACGTGACCGCACACCTGCCCACGCGACGGTGCGGGGTTCGTTCCGCCGCACACGTCTCTGTTGTCTCTTTCTGTCTCTACCTCTGTCTTTCTCTGTCTGTGTCTCTCTGCTCGAACCGAATGCGGAGATCGCATATTGCAACTTTTCCCCGCGTTTCTTGCAGCCGATGACACGACAGTCGCCTTTGACAGGACGCCAAGCAGCAGCGCCGGGCCCCATAGTGTAAACGGCCCATTTACTCGCATGTCCCGTCCCCCCGCGCGGTCGCGCCCCACACAGAGCGCCCCCCTCCCCCTTTTGCAAACAGAATAACTCACTTATTACGATCTCTTTCGCTCCACAGAGAGAGGTTTAGTAGAGACCCCCCGCCTCCCGCTCCGCCCGTACCGTGCAACCGCGCCGCGCCCCCTCCGTAAAATATTTACGCGTTAGCGATGGTTTCTTTTCGCCGAGCCGAGAGCAGCACGGGCGGGGCGGCCGCAAAGGCAGTTTGTGCGCGCCAATGGGCGGTAAAGTTCCCCGCGAGCGCACGCACTCGACACGTGTCGCAGTGTCACCTGCCGGACACGTGTGGCCGTGTGACGGGACGGGTCCAGCAAACCCGTCACAGCGACGGGCACGGTTGTTGCGGGTCCGCGTTACATGGCGTTACGGCCGTCGTTACACGACCGCGACCACTCGCCCGGCACTCGGACCCAGCGGCACGCCGAAACAGAAACAGTCCGCTCCAAATTAACCAGCAGCAGCAGCAGGAGCGTTTCGCAGAAACTACTGCAGCCGCCGACAGATGGGATCGCGATCACTTTCGCCTTCGGCCCGCGCGGCGCGGCTGGCATGCGCTGCACCAGTCCCGATTTAACCCACTGGGCCCGACACTGTTGCAGCCGCGGGGCCAACCTGATGGAGAGCAGCACAGCGGCGGCGGGGCCGCGAGCCCGTCAGGGCAGGGCAGCACAGCGGCGAGGACTCTATTTGCTCAGCGGTCATTAAATCCCCTCACCCCCTTCCCCCGCGCGGTGTGCAAGTTAGGCCCGTCCGCCGGGCAGGCCGTTCCAGAAGTAGTTGTGAATAGTTTGGCCGGCCCTAACTGCGTGGCAGTGAGCCATTGCGCGGGCGGGGCCGGGCGGGCGCCCCGGCGAAAGATGCAGAGTAGAGTTGATGTTGTTGTTGCGAGTTGTAACGCCGGGGGAGCGTGGCGTGGCGCAGCGCGGCGGGGGGCACCTGGTCGCGGTGCGGATAGACTTGGCCGAGGCTCTGCTCCCTCTGCTCCTCTCCGCCCGTTGCGTCCGTGGCGCTGCAGAGTCTGTGTTCCCATTTATCCGCGAGTCGTCTGGTCTGGTCTTCCCCGCGGCCGCGATCTCTTGCCACTTGAGTTATGCTCTCGGTGCCGTACCGTACCGCCGGCAGCGACGGCGCACCGCGAGTATCTCGAGAGGTACGCTCTACCCCCTTTCTAAACGCACTCTGTCTCGAGTGGCGCTGAACCGACCCGGGGGATTTTAAATATTCCCGCCATCCATCGGATCGGCTCGGGTCTTGGTCTGCACGCCGGCCACCACCGCCGCCGGCGCCGACAGTTCCCACCACGGGCAACAGCAGCAGCCTGCTCTGCCTCTCGCTGCAAGAAATTTACAGCGCGGCAAACCACCGAGAAAGGCGCGCGCGCGGCGGTCTTTGGGGAACAAATACACAAGCCATTCCATTCGTCAGCGAGGCGCAGGCGCAGGCGGGTATAGAGCGCCACCGCCGCGCTGTAGTGGCGCTTGCAGGTCACTCGTCTTTTACAGCGCGGGCATTAAAAATATAACCGTGCAACTGTGGCGGGGTGGAACGGGGGCGGGACGGGGTGGCGGGTCCCGGCGGGCGCCCACCGTCGCCCCCGCAACGACAACTTTGTTACGCGGGTCGCGCGGCGGGCGATATTTGATCAGCAAAGTGCAGGCGATACCGTCAACGACCCCGCCGTGCCGCCGGCCCTAACGACGGAATAAAACTCCCTGCCCAGCATCACCTCCAAGACGACTTAATGATCGTATAAAGGAGGCGAAGCCTGAGAGGAAGTGCCACTTAGGGAGGCTAGGTATGGCGCGGCCAGGCCCCATATTAAACACAGTTGAGGAGGAGGAGGAGGTGGGGGCGGACTACGACTACCCCCCGCCCTCCTCACCCAACCCCGCCTTGCAAAGAGGTCCCGCGGGCAATCTAAAGGCAGGATTCTAATGAGAAGAAATCGGCTTAAACTTGTCAGCAGACTACTACTGCTATAGTGGCTGCTGAGCGCCGCGCTACGGCGGCGGGAGGTGCGGGCGGGCGGCAAAGTTGGGTCGAGTGCAGGGAGAACTCCTTGAAAGTTGATAAACACTTGACCCAAGCGGAATTTGTCACTTGTGAATGCGCAAGAGGAGAAGGGGTGGGAGTAATATCAGGGGAAGTACTGTCGTGCGGACCTTTGCTACTCGTGAAGAGAAGAAGAAGAAGAAGAAGAAGAAGGGAAGATTGCAAGGTTCCCTCCGTGCCGTCTGTAAGCGTCGTCTTAGTGAGCGCGGCCCGGGCCCGGGCGACACTTGATTCCAAGTTTAACAAGAAGCAGCAGTGCAGCACTTCCTCCGCGGCGCGGTGCGGGCCTCGAGGTGCTGCTCCCCGCCCCGCTCTGCCCCTGCTCCAGCCTGCACAATGGTCCCAGGCAGGCGTAGCACGCGCGACCCCCTCGATGGGGCTGACGGGGGGAAAGGGGGTATTTCACCCCCCGCGCTACGCAGGTCACGTCCGAGGGCCGTTACCACCCCAACCCGTTCTCTACCGTGCCCCCACCAACCCTCCCCCTCGGCCGGACCGTACTCCACCAGCACCAGACAAGCCCGTCGTTCTCTTGATCTCGGCGGGCGGGCCGCGACGGGTACCGCACCAGACAAGAGCACTCCCCAAAGGGATCAAAAACTTTACTCCAGAAAGCACACGGCGCGAGCCCTCCCAGCCGCCCTTTCCAACACCACTGGTGCACTTAATTCTCATACTTCCTCTGGCCCCTCTGCAGCCGACACCGAGGCCAGCCAGGCTGTCTGCTCCAGAAGACCAGCAGCACCACCTCAACTCAACCCTCTCAAACTGACCTACCACACGGTGCACCTCGCTCTACTACTGTACCGTGCTTTACTGCACTGTACTGTACTTTACTGTACTGTACTGTAACACACCATGCCGCAGACAGAGGGACGGACGGACTTCTCGCTCACCATTCTCTAACTTCCTGTGCACCGCAGTGTTGGTGCTCGACACTCCTAGCAACCCACCTGGAACAGAGAAAGAAAGACAGTTAGACAGGGATCCGTGGTAATAACGCATAATGTGGACACAAACACACACTCATCTACACACACACATACGTTAACGCCCCTTCCCAATACGACACACCAGCGGGAAACCCACGTAATGGAATGACACCACTATATCGCGAGCACACGCGCACACACACGTACGCAAACACACACACGCACACGCACACAAGAGCGATCCGACTCGAGGCGGGGCACGAGTTGAGCTGTGAGCGCTCGGGATGATCCGCACTGCAGAACGGAGCGGAGCCCGAAGCTATATCAGTCAGTCAGTCAGTCAGTAGAAGACCTACATCCTCTGGGGCGGGAGCAGGAGGGCAAAGTTCGGGCGCGGGATAAAAAGCGCGTACATGCACACTGCACACATGCGCACATCCACGTCACGCTGCTGCCCCACTCTCCCAAACTGCATGACGTGCGCTCATGAGGATGCTGCGAGGCGAGAGCGCCCCCAACACACGCTGAATCGCAACTGTACAGTACAAACTGCACACTCGCACACAAATATTTTTCCCCTCTCTCTCGCCTTCTCATTGTGCCAAGAGCGTGTAGTGCTGGGCGACATTGCGCCGTGGCGGGGAGTGGCGAGAGAGGAGAGAATGGTCCAACTCGACGCGACCGCCCCGGCCCTGCCCTCCGCGTCCCATTCGAGAGACGTCCTCTCGCAAAGTTTCATAGGGAAATGCCGTACGAACTACTACAGTAGTCTGGAGCGCGCCGCGCCGTCTGAAGGGCCTGGCTCACCCCCTGGCCCCCCGGCCTCTGCCCGCGCCAGAGGCCTGCAGACTGCCAGGAATGTGAACGGCAGGGCTAGCCTGCTCTGTATCCCATATCCCCCTCCTCCAATGTGATCCGGGGCGCTGCGCTGCGGGGCGCGGCGAGAACATCTGGGTCTTGTGAATAAGCCAGTAGGGCGAAGGGTCGCCCGGCAACAACTGCCCTTCGCTGCCACGCCATAGCCTCTCACCCCCCCACCCCTCCTCGTCTCGTCGGATCCGATCGCCCCCTCCTCGACCCCCCAGCAGCCGATCTGGGCGATACATTCGCCGCCCGTGATATCAACTCCAGTTAGGCCCACTATCGTTTGTGCCCCACCCTTCCTCCGGAGGGGTGGCGACGCACAGCAGCGGTCGTCCCTCCTCCTCCTTCCGTATTTCCTTCTCAATGCCCCCCCCCC